GAGAGAGCAGAAGGTTAGAGATTGAACTAACAGATTCTGCAGAATAGGAGAACAGAGAGAGAATGAAGCAGAATGATGAAATGGGGGTCCCTATGTCCTCCAGCAGTCTAAGCCTATAGCAGCATAACTATAGAGATAGCTCAGGATAACCTGAGCCACTCTAACTATAAGCTTTATCAGAAAGGAAAGTTTTAAGCCTAGCCTTAAAAGTAGACAGGGTGTCTGCCTCACGGACTAAAACTGGTAGTTGGTTCCACAGGAGAGGAGCCTGATAACTAAAAGATCTGCCTCCCATTCTACTTTTAGAAATTCTAGGAACCACTAGTAAACCTGCAGATTGAGAGCGAAGTGCTCTGTTAGGAACATAAGGAACAATCAGATCTCTGATATCAGATGGAGCTTGGCCATTTAAGGCTTTATATGTGAGAAGGAGGATTTTAAATTCTATTCTGGATTTAACAGGAAGCCAATGAAGAGAAGCCAGGATAGGCGAGATATGATCTCTCTTTTTAATTTTCATCAGAACTCTGGCTGCAGCATTTTGGATCAGCTGAAGGCTTTTAACTACAGTTTGTGGACTTCCTGATAGTAAAGAATTACAATAGTCCAGCCTTGAAGTAACAAATGCATGGACTAGTTTCTCAGCATCACCCCTGGACAGGATATTTCTAATTTTTGCAATGTTCCTCAGATGAAAGAAGGATATTCTAGAAACCTCTTTGATATGGGATTTAAATGACAGGTCCTGATCAAAAATAACACCAAGATTTTTTACTTTATTATCTGAAATCAGTTTAATCCCATCCAAATGAAGTGACTGGCTAATCAGCTTCTTTTTATAACTTCTGTTTTGTCTGCATTCAGAAGCAGAAAGTTAAGAGTCATCCAGGTTTTTATGTCTTCAAGACATGCCTGTAATCTATGTAATGGGTTAGCTTCATCTGGATTTATAGACAGATATAGCTGGGTATCATCAGCATAACAGTGGAAATTAATCCCATGCTGTCTAATAACTCTACCAATTGGGAGCATGTATAAAGTAAAGAGAATTGGTCCTAGCACTGATCCCTATGGTACTCCACAGGTAACCTTTGAGCATGTTGAATCTATCATTAACATGAACAAACTGAATTCGATCAGATAGATAAGATTTAAACCAGTCTAGTGCTGTTCCTTTAATTCCAACCAAATATTCAAGTCTTTCTAAAAGAATATTATGGTCAACTGTATCAAATGCAGCACTAAGATCCAACAGGACGAGCACAGATACAAATCCATTATCTGAGGCCATGAGAATATCATTAGTGACTTTCACCAGAGCTGTTTCAGTGCTATGATGAGCTCTAAAGCCAGACTGAAACTCTTCAAAAAGTTCATTATGGTGTAAGTGATCGCAAACTTGTTTGGCAACTATTTTCTCAAGAATTTTGGATAAGAAAGGAAGATTGGATATAGGTCTATAATTGACCAAGTCATCTGGGTCAAGAGACGGTTTCTTAAGCAGAGGTTTAATTACAGCAACCTTAAAAGCTTTAGGTACATATCCCTGTAACAGAGATAGATTAATCACATCTAAAATGGAGGAGGAGATCAAAGGGAATACCTCCTTAAATAACCTGGTTGGAACTGGATCTAACATACAAGTTGAAGGCTTAGATGAAGACAATAACTTTGCTAATTCAGAGAGTTCAACTGGATCAAAGCAGTCCAAACCCGGTTCAGATTCCATGACTACCTCAGGTACAATCGCGGATAGAGGAGTGCTTATGATCTTATTTTTAATAAGATCAATCTTATTTATAAAGAATCCCATAAAATCATTGCTGCTAAGAGCAGGTGGAATGGACGGTTCAACAGAGCTATGGCTCTGGGTGAGTTTGGCAACTGTATTAAAAAGAAATCTAGGATTATTCTTATTCTCCTCTATTAATGAGGAGAAGTATGCTGCTCTTGCTTTACAAAGGGTCCTCTTATACAGCAGTAAACCATTTTTCCAGACTTGGAAGGACTCCCGCAGGCCTGTGGAGCGATATTTTCTCTCCAGTTTCCTAGCATTTTGCTTCAAAGTACGCAGCTCTGCATTAAACCAAGGAGCAAGCTTTCTATTTTTAACGGTTTTCATTTTCAAAGGAGCTGCGTTGTCTAAGGCAGTACGCAGAGAACTAGCAACCCCATCAACAAAATCATCAACCTGTGAAGGGGAATAAGCTATGCTTTTGCACTCTGCAGCACTGCTCAGTGACACAGAGGAGAGAGAAAGTGAAGCAGATTCTTTAAAATTTATAACTGCACTATCTGATAAAGATCTACTAAAATTGAACCTTCTTTTGGGGGAGGAGAACTCTGTTAAAGTAATCCTGAAGGTTATTAGAAAGTGGTCAGAGAGGACAGGGTTGTGAGGAAATACTGTTATTTCTTCACATTCTATGCCGTATGTCAGCACAAGATCCAAAGTATGAAGATGAGAATGCGTGGGACCACTCACACTCTGAACAAAGCCAATAGTGTCTAAGATAGCATTAAATGCTGCTCTTAAGCTATCGCCTTCAATGTCAGCATGGATGTTAAAATCTCCCACTATGATGACCCTGTCAGTATTTAATACCAAATCAGAAAGGAACTCTGAAAACTCATCTAAAAATTCAGAGTAGGGACCTGGTGGACGATACAAAGTTACAAAAAGAAGAGGTTTTCTTGCCTTGAAATTTGGATCAGGGAAATTAAGGGTTAAATGTTCAAAAGAGTTGTAGGTATTAACTGTTTTGGGAGTAATCAGTAAGTCAGACTGGAAGATTGTTGCTACTCCTCCTCCTCGCCCAGAACTTCTGGGTATGTGAAAATTTAAATAGCTTGAAGGAGTTGCCTCATTTATGCTCACATAATCCTCTTGCTGCAGCCAGGTTTCTGTAAGGCAAAACAAGTCAATGTGATTATCACAAATCAAGTCATTAACTAGCAGACTTTTAGAGGAAAGCGATCTTATGTTAAACAGACCGCATTTAATTGTTTTAACTTTTTCCCCAATTGAAGTTATTTTGATTTTAATTAGATTATCATGATTTACTCCTTTGGGAATCTTTGCTAATTTATTAGATTTTGGTCGTGGGCAAGACACTGTCTGGATGGAGTAAAGAGTGGGTAACAGTAGAGAAGCTGCAGAGATGTGTGTTAAACTACAACTCTGCTTCCTGGTCTGCACCGTGGGTGGTCAGGGTTTTGGAGGACTAATAAATGTGGCCAGATTCCTAGAAAGAAGAGCTGCACCATCCAAAGTGGGATGGAAGCCGTCTCTCCGAATCAGACCAGGCTTTCCCCAAAAGGATTGCCAATTATTAATGTAGCCCACGTTGTTTTCAGGACACCACCTAGACAACCAGCGGTTGAATGACGACATGCGGCTAAACATGTCATCACTGGTCAGATCAGGGAGGGGACCAGAGAAAATTACGGAGTCCGACATTTTTTTGGCAAACTTACACACCGAAGCAACACTAATTTTAGTGACCTCCGATCGGCGTAACCGGGTGTCATTACCACCAGCGTGAATAACAATCTTACTGTATTTAACCTTATCCTTAGCCAGTAGTTTCAGGTAGGATTTGATTTCGCCCGTTCTGGCCCCCGGCAAACATTTGACTATGGTCCCTGGTGTCTCTAATGCCACGTTTCTGACTATGGAGCTGCCAATCACCAGAGTGGGCTTCTCAGTGGGTGTGTCACTGAGTGGGGAAAACCGGTTAGAAACGTGAACGGGTTGGTGGTGACCAGTGGGCAGAGATCCACGACTACGCTTTCTGCGTACAGTTACCCAATCGCCTGGCTGCTCAGGCACTTTTGGAGGACAGCTACGTGGGGGGCCTACTTTAACTCCTGGATGTTCAACAGCCTGAAGCCTGGATTCTAACTCTGACACCCTCGCCTCCAAAGCTACAAAAATACTACACTTATTACACATCCCATTATCACTAAAGGAGGCAGAGGAATAACTGAACATCTGACGTAGAGAGCAGGAGAGAGGAGAGGAAGAATGAAGAGTTGGAAAAGAGTCAAGTGAGGGAGAGAGAGAAGCCATAGCAATGCTAAGCTAGCGCTAGCCTAGGCTAGCTACTCCTTGCTATCAGAAATAAAACCGTGTGAAACTGACAAGTGCTCAGTAGAAAAGTGCAGCAGAAGGTGCTATGTTTTAAAGTAGTCAGTTAGAGTTACTCAGATACAGAGATATCACAGAGAAAATAACTTAACTTCAGATGGAGTTCCTCTGGACAGCTGCAACAGCTCCACACTCAGTTAATCCAAACAGGATACATATATATATGTATATATATACATATATATATATGTATATATATATACATATATATATATATATATATATATATATATATATATATATATATATATATATATATATATGTGTACATATGTACACGTACTGTATACTGTATATTTTTTGTCATTTACAGTTGATATAAAATGTGTAATTTTATTTTTACTCCTAATGTTTTTGTTTAGAAATATTTTTGAGGCATAAACCAATGGTTCCTGTATTTTTTACATTGCTTGATAAGTTACATTTATATACGTATATATATAATTTTTATGAGTAGGTTCATATAGGTCCTACACAGAAGTGACCCGAGAGCGAACCCCTGAGGAATCCCACATTCACTTTCCTTCAACCTAGATGTGTAATTCATTAAAATGAGTTTTCAAAGTTTTTTTTTTCTAAATTTATTCATTTAGAATTTTTTTCTTCTGAGACCATTTCTTTAATTCATTAAGGGAAAAAATATTTGATAAGGTAAGTTGATGACTAAAGGAATTTATAACTGCAGCCTTAGATTAATGAGCATTTTTTAACTAAATTATAGGCGTTATTAAAAACACTTGATGTTCTCTGCAGATTTGATCATCTTCACTTCAGTGTGTTGCTTGAAAGTAACTGTGTGTTTGGCTTATGCAAGTCCATGGTTACCTTAATGGCATCTTCTCCCCTGCAGGTGGTAGCTCTGAACAAGCGCAGTAAGGAGGCAGAGTCTGCGTTCCTGGGAATCTACAAACAGCTTATTGAGGCCCCAGGTGAGTCTCCCACTAAGACCAGAGAAGTGCATCTTCACAAACAACACCACCACACTCGCCGGCATTACTTCTAGAATTACCTTCTCTGCCTTTGAAGATCAATCTCTAAAGATCAATTCGCTGTCAAACGCTGCGTCTGTGTGAGGACCAGCTCTGCAGAGACGTTTCATACCAACGAGCGCTCGCCTAAACCAAAAAGTAATTTTCTCACCATGGATACGGCGAGTATGGTGCAGCAGCTCGTGGATATAAGATACATAAAACCCCCATACCCTGTGGCTCTTATCTATTTTTCAAAGTCTATGCTCTGAGTGGTTTCCAAAACTCTGCGTGAGGCCACTTCAAAACCCAGCGCTGGTCCTCAAGTGCAGCCTGACTGGGGAGCGAAGGCATTTTGAAGGAGCTTCGCTGTTGATTGTGGAGGACCAATTAAAACCCAACTGTAGTCTGGGTCTGTGTTGAACCTGATGAGGCCGAAGGGGGTAAGAGGCGGAACATGAGGGTGAAGGAAAGGCAGATTCTGTGTTTATTCTGCTGTTTTTTTTGTTTTTTTTTCTTTCCTGCAGTGCCAGGGAACATGTTGCTCCGTGTTGCAGGAGACGGCAGCGGTACGCAGCCCAATCTCAGTCTAGATCAGAGGAACACTTGTGGCAGGAGTAGAGAATGCTGTTTACAGATTCAATGAATACAAGATAAAAGCCCGCGTCAGAGAAATAGCGACGGCGGCAACTGACTTTTAAAGGTCTCCATTTTTCCTTGAAGTCCCCCGCTTGATATTGCGCCATACGGCCGCCCACACACACACACACACACACACACACACACACACACACACACACACACACACACACACACACACACACACACACACACACACACACACACACACACAAGAAATGACTTTAAATGGAGTTATTTCCTTGATAAGAAATAAAATGTGTCCCTTTAAAGATGTATTCAGTTTAATTAATCTAACCTGTAGCTTTTACCTTCTGACCTTAATTCCAGTTTCAGAGCATTTTTATGGAACATCATTTCTAAAAACAAGCTTTAAATGTTTTTTGTTTTTTTAAAGAAGCCGAGGCCGCTGACATCTCATGACCGGTTTTACCAAAAATAATAATAATTCGTAGTTGTCTTTGTTTGCTTGAAATAAAGGCATTTATCCAGTGTTTTCCCCTAAGCGTATTGTTGAGGTGAAGGACGAAAAACATCAGGTTCCTGGGTCCTTCAGGTGATGCTGCCCATCTCCCTCTGACCTTGCCTTTGCATTAGAAGAAGCTCTTTTGTTCTCGTTTATTAGTGTGTTTTATGCATGCGATGCTTGACAAATACCAGTACAGCCTGGTATTTGTCAGAGAAGGTCTTTGTGTTTGGCCAGACGTGTTCACAAGTCATTTTTTGCAAGTCCAAGTCAAGTCTCAAGTCTTGAGAGCTCAAGTCCAAGTCAGGTCTCAAGTCTTGAGAAGGCCTGTCACAATTATCAATTAATCGCACAATAAATTCTAATCACTCGATTAATTAAAATAAGTGCAATAATTTGCATGCTTGCTTGTTTCTCCTTGTGTTTTCATCTCCGTCACTGAGACGGTATAGCTTAAAGGTCACTATTATATCTATGGAATGATCATTATCTTGAACTGGTAAATGAAAAATAGAATTTAAAAAAGCACACACAAATTTTGCATCTTTATTTTTTTCTTTCAAAAATAACAATTTTCTTACAGTATTTACCTGACAACTGTGGTTACAACTTTTTCTAGTTTTAGGAGTAAATGTCTCCTCTCTTATTTTTAAGTGAAAATGAGGGCTGTGGAAAAAAAAACAATCACAATCCTGCCTTTTATTAATACATATGAAGTTAGCAACTACAGCAGATAAAGAAAAACCCTAAATAAATACCAGGACAATAACAATTCTTTCATAAAAGAAACATTGTGGCAATAACTTTTTGTTACTTAATGCCCTGGAACAGACAGAACGACTTGGCGGGCAGTATTTTAAATTCAATTCAGTTTATTTATTTAGTGCCAATTCACAACATATTTCTCCTCTACGACGGCCATGAAATTTTTAAAGCTTGGCTTGTCGATCATGCATGCATGCGCACGGGCGCGCGGGCATATATGTCACGTAGCGTTGCGTCAGTGACGTCAGTGCTACGTGACAGTTTGACAGCCCCTCTGCCGTTTTTTTTTTTTTTTTACCTCTGCTGTGTGCGGGTAAGGCGAGCGGCGATCAGTCAAGTTAGTAAAACAAAAAACATTTTAAAAATAAAATATTGTTCACAAGTCAGAAATCACGAGTCTCAGTCGAGTCCGAAGTCCTTCAAATGCAAGTCTAAGTCGCGTCTAAAGTCATTAAATATGCGACTTAAGTGCGACTCGAGTACGAGTCACAAACTCGAGTCCCCACCTCTGTGTTTGGCTGCTGCAGATCATTATGGTCAATCCGATTACAGAATGATTCCCTTTAACAAATTCATTGTGAACAGTAAACTTCAGGCCTTCCTCAGTCAAAACATTTTTTCGCATCTTTCACTTAAAGTCTTTTTGGGGGTGGGGGGTACTATCTTCTAGTTCTGCTCGAACAGGGCTCGATGTTAACCATCGCCCGATCTCCCGGGGCAAGTAGGTTTTATTGTTGGGAGAGTACAAATTTCATTGCATTTGTCCACCGGGCAAGTGCATTGATCACAAAAAAAATATATTTATCACTCAAAATTACTTTAAAATCACCGACATTCGATGGAAGCGACCCAGAGGCTCGATGTTAACCTTTGCCCGATCTCCCGGGGCAAGTAGTTGTTATTGTCGGGAGAGTACAAATTTTATTGCATTTGCCCGTCGGGCAAAAATTATTTATCACTCAAAATTACTTTAAAATCACCGACATTCGATGAAAGCAACCCAGAAGCGTTGCCGGCTCAATTTTTGTTGTTTTGTACACATTCTCGCGTGATTTAAAAAAGCTGGGTGATTTTCCGCCAGATGGCGTGATTTTTGTCCACCTAGTGGTAATTTTGATGTAGTTACCAAAACGACAAACGTGATATCGTTGAACACAACGTATGGACGTCAACGATCCACGCTAGTCGTGTTTGATTTAACAAGCCGAAACATCTCTGCTTTCAGGGCTCGATGTTAACCATTGCCCGATCTCCCGGGGCAAGTAGTTGTTATTGGCGGGAGAGTACAAATTTCATTGCATTTGCCCGCTGGGCAAAAATTATTTATCACTCAAAATTACTTTAAAATCACCGACATTCGATGGAAGCAACCCAGAGGCTCGATGTTAACCTTTGCCCGATCTCCCGGGGCAAGTAGTTGTTATTGTCGGGAGAGTACAAATTTTATTGCATTTGCCCGTCGGGCAAAAATTATTTATCACTCAAAATTACTTTAAAATCACCGACATTCGATGAAAGCAACCCAGAAGCGTTGCCGGCTCAATTTTTTTTGTTTTGTACACATTCTCGCGTGATTTAAAAAAGCTGGGTGATTTTCCGCCAGATGGCGTGATTTTTGTCCACCTAGTGGTAATTTTGATGTAGTTACCAAAACGACAAACGTGATATCGTTGAACACAACGTATGGACGTCAACGATCCACGCTAGTCGTGTTTGATTTAACAAGCCGAAACATCTCTGCTTTCAGGGCTCGATGTTAACCATCGCCCGATCTCCCGGGGCAAGTAGTTGTTATTGGTGGGAGAGTACAAATTTCATTGCATTTGCCCGCTGGGCAAAAATTATTTATCACTCAAAATTACTTTAAAATCACCGACATTCGATGAAAGCGACCCAGAAGCGTTGCCGGCGCCATTTTTGTTGTTTTGTACACATTCTCGCGTGATTTGAGAAAGGCGCGTGATTTGAAAAAGCCGGGCGATTTTCCGCCAGATGCCGTGATTTTTGTCCACCTAGTGGTCATTTTGATGTAGTTACCAAAACGACAAACGGCTGCATTTATTTTGTCAGGGAAAACTAATCCTGAGTCAGTTAAAAGTCAGGGAATTCTGAAATTATGTAAAACTGTGGAAAACCTGAATAAAATAACTATGTATAATGATTCTCTAGAAAAGTCACATTATATTAATAGTATTATCTTGTATAAACATACCGTGACTCTAAAATAAAAGTTATTAATTTGTGACATTGACTTCTGTCTTGTGATTTATCTTAAGTTTTTTTTTAGATTTTTAACATTACAATTTATATTTTTCCAAGCACACAACAGTTTAAAGCAAAGTTTAGTTTGAAAAGAATGTGCAGGAAGGATTGAAAAGCATGTTAACACGGTAATGTAGGCTTGAGTTCATTATCTGACGCATGCAGATACACACCAGGAACCTGGAAACTTAAAAAATACTGAATTACTAAAAACATTTAAAAAACAAACATGTTTCATTGATATATATACAAAAATGAATATTAGGAACTATATTTATCAAACATTATACTGGGCAAGTAAAAATTGTTTCTGGGCAAATGAAATGTGAAAGTAAAAATCCTTTACGTCAACCCCTGCTGAACTTTCATGCATTTATTCTAAAATAGATCAGTTCAATGAAGTCCTGTACGCCATCCTCAGTTGGTTTTAGGTGCGGCGCTTATTGGGTCATGCGATTAGGGGTCCTGTTAGAACTGAGGTTCCCACTCAGACCTTAGGGGGGCAGCGTTCTGCATCTGTTATGCTGCGTTCACACCGGGGGCAGCAAAAGCAGCAAAATCGCGTCTGCTGCTTCATTTTTGCTGCTTGTACCAGTGAATTCTGACGCGCGTCTGAAGCAGCTTTGCTGCTCTCGCTGCGCGGTCCAAAAGTGGCTCTGACGCGCGTTGGGCGGAGCTTCACTATCCTTTCTCTGCCTTGCAGCTATATTTGCTGTGATCAGTGGGAATAAAGTAGTTTTAATATGTTTTTAAGTGAGAAAATACACCTGAAAACTTCATCAGTGGAGTCAGTTCATCCAGATTACAATCCTGCCTCCCACTGTTATTT